ACCTCATACTGTAGGGATGAAACGGCCTTTTCGGGAGTCTGGGATAATCTGTTCATGTGGATAGCGATGGAGTTTTTATTTCTGATTCCTCCATTACACCTACCTGACTAACTTTATGGTAGTTTTTTTTCCAAAAATATTTTATTCAAGTTGCATACAGCAATAGCGAAATTCATAGATAGCGGTTTATCGTCCTACTTTTCTACACCATCCAGGCTAATGAAGACGAACTTACGGTGTGCCATGAGTGAAATTTACGGTCTACTTTTATTACGAACTAGCAGGATACCCGGCTTCGCTCGGGGGTCATAACTCCGAAACCGGTTACTACCCGGTCCGAGCTACCCCTATACCCCAAATTTCAGACTCGGGGCAGACCTAGTGTAGCCGCCAACCCCTAACAGACAGACTTCGCTCGGGGGTCATAACTCCGAAACCGGAAGTGGTAGACTAACGCCACCTAGCCTATGTTACTCCCCGGTCCGTGCTACCCCTATACCCCAAATTTCGGACTCGGGACAGACCTTGTGTAGCCGCCAACCCTGAACAGACCGGCTTCGCTCGGGGGTCATAACTCCGAAACCGGAAGTGGTAGACTAACGCCACCTGGCCTATGTTACTCCCCGGTCCGAGCTACCCCTATACCCCAAATTTCAGACTCGGGGCAGATGTAGCCGCCAACCCCGAACAGACAGACTTCGCTCAGGGGGTCTTAACTCCGAAACCGGAAGTGGTAGACTAACGCCACCTGGCCTATGTTACTCCTCGGTCCGAGCTACCCCTATACCCCAAATTTCAGAAACAGGGCAGACCTAGTGTAGCCGCCAACCCCGAACAGACCGGCTTCGCTCGAGGGGTCATAACTCCGAAACCGGAAGTGGTAGACTAACGCCACCTGGCCTATGTTACTCCCCGGTCCGAGCTACCCCTATACCCCAAATTTCAGACTCGGGGCAGACCTAGTGTAGCCGCCAACCCCGAACAGACAGACAGACAGACAAACGACAGTCACAAATATATATATAGATAACAGCTGCAACGGTTTTCGTCCGACCCGATCTACTAGACACTGTATATGCCTACAATAACGGCAACCTCCGCAAATCACAAGGACGGAACTAATAATGTCAGAAATATTATAAAGCGTAGTTTTGCCAGTGTGTATACTAGCTGACGATGTTATATAACCCATAGACATATATTTTTTTTATGATATAACCGCCATATTCCGGCGTGGTTATCCGTCCCTTGTTATTGATACAAGACGAGGGTCTGACACGGACAGTGGCTAGTCGTTCGGGTAGTATAAAGAGACATATTTTAGAGCATTAACAGAATAATTTATAGATCAACAGTATATAAATAGTAATTGGCTTAACTGTAAAATAAAAATAAAATAAAATTCTCCAAATCCTGCACTTGTCTTTAAAAAAAATAACAAATGCTGTTTAGCTTATATTTAAAACAGTATTTGCAAAACATATCACGTTCGATGTTGTTTTCAATTTTTACACTCCGCCAAACCATTCAACCTGACGAAGAGCGAGTCGTTTGTGGCAACATAATGATCCCGCTCAGTGCTCAATCACCAAATTGAGCACATGCTGGCGACACCAAACGACGTCATAATGATGGTTGCTTGGTAGAGGTATCAAAATTCTAAATTTGCTCGACGTTCATGATTAACATGTAAAGTGACAATGAAGTAGACATTTTTCGTCTTAACAATAAAAATAAGACGAAACAGAATTAAAATTTACACTGAACAAATAAAGAAGTTGGATTATACATTGTCTTAATTTAGAAATTACACGAATTGAAGTTAGAAATTACATGAATTAAGGTTAGAAGTTACATGAATTAAGGTTAGAAGTTAACGGAACGGAGGTTAGAAATTAGACGATAGCATGTTAGAATTTTGAATCTAATATACCGCCATAAGAACTAGTGATACTCGGTTTAAGTTTCATCTAAATCGGATAAAAATTGCGACCTCTAGATGGTCCACAATCTTCGTTCGTTTGTTTCTGGAGTTTTACGTCCACTTCCACCACGGGTGATATCGTAGACAAGTGTTTCCTAGGAAACTTGCCATAGGAAACCACAAAAATAGGCTTGATCCAGCTCTTTGGGGTAAGACACAATGTATTTACAGGGAAGCGTCCAAGGCGAAATTCATCCAAGGAGAATCTCCGGGTGTAAGAAATGAAATAATGGCGAGCGTGTGCAGTCTGGCCCGTTTTGCCATAAATGCTACGATTTTAGATAAGGCAGGTAAATTTAGGTTTGACTGTCAGTCGGACCCTAGGGCTTTTATACTAAAACGGGAGCAGTCATTTGATTGAAAGTTTCGGTCAGATTTTCACTAAATTATTATGTAACTGTGATATATTTGAACAGTTTTGAAAATATGATAAAAAAAAAATAGTGACTTCTAGAGGGCCCGCAGGCTAAAAACGTGATATTTCGTACAATCAGGGGTAATAATCCAGACAGTTACGGTCCAACATAGAAAGGAACCCAGACCTTTAGGATATATCAAATTCGATGAAAATTCGAACATCAGGGTGCAAGTCCACAACCTGGGGCCTGTTTCACGAAATTTTAACTAAGATAAAATCCAAATTCTAGTAATTTGATTGGATAATATTAGATTGATTTTAGTGCTTAGCCAATCAAAATTTAAGTATCTACTAAAATTTGAATTTTATCTTTATTTAAGATTTCGAGAAAAAGGGCCCTGGTTATTAGCCTACATGCTTTTTATGGTAGCGGCCATTTTGTCGTGCAGTTTTGGTCCGATTTTCACGAAATTTGCACTCTATATACGGTAAATATGGTGTAACGGTGATATATCTGAACGGTTTTTACAAACAAATTAAAACCGTAAGCCCTAGAGAGTCCACAAGCTCAAAATGTATTTAAGATATGTGCCAATATCGAAACGAACCGAAATCTTTCGATTATAAACATATATTGTCAGTTTCATCAAATCGTATAAAACTTGTGACCTCTAGAGTGTCCACAACCTTGGTATTAGTATGCATGTATTTGTCAAGTTCAGTATCGCATGAAACCACCATCGATTGGGTTTGCATGGTAAGGGATTTAGATGAACTCAAGAATAAAATTTCACTTCATTGCTGAGTAATTTAATTGGCAGGGTCTCTGCATGACGATAATTCCCCCCCCCCCCCCCCCCGACAGTTTGCCACTACCAGATGGAAACACACATGCCATCCATATACCGGTGTCTGTGACTCTCCTAAAACGGCGAATGGCGACCGCCCCAAAAATTGGGATAATGCGACTTGATGATCGGGTTTCCTTTATTTCCCTGATTCCCCGGTTGTACGTGACAAGGAGTAGGGTCGCCTGTCCAACTTCGTGGGTTTTCTCCGGGTCCTTCGGTTTCCTCCCACTTCTAAAGACCCCTACGCGCAAGCGAATTATTGAAATAAAATTAAACCATATATGTAAGTCCCGAAATGACCTAGTGGACGTTAAACCCCATTTCTCTCTCTCTCTCTCTCTCCCTATAGATTTTCGCGCATATCGGATCATAACATTTTGAATTATGGCTCAAAATGCCCGAAAAACTTTGTTTTAGCCCCCGCTATAAATATTAGAACAACCGGGAAATTCACAACGAAATGAAGAAGTGCCTAACTGTGCCGATAATACAAGAAGGCCTATATTTTAAATTCTGCTGTAAAATTCACAACGAAATAAAGAAATGCCATGTGCTGATAATACGAGAAGGTGTATATTTTAAATACTATTTAAAGAAATGTCTTCTATTCACTTAATTCATTAAATATTCACTTATCTGTGTTTATATTTCTAAGCTGATTATTTGCAGTTTTTCGAGGTAGTCAAATGAGAAAAAGAAAAAGAAACATTGCCGATCAGTGGCTTATAGCTAAAGTGTCTTTTAATAAATCTAACTGATCGACAATGTTTCTTTTTGTTTTTATTCATTTGCCTACGTAGTTTAGTCGGACATGTTTACATTACAAAGTATGCAGGAATTTAATTAAGGGAGAACTCATAAATTATTCCCCTCTCAACCCCTCCTCCCCCCTTCTGGCACAGAGAAACAATTTTATCTACTACAATGGAAAAGCTTCTAATGCCCCCCCCCCCCCCGCCACGACCTAACGCCAAAGTTGGCGTAAAGTCTCCACCCTAGCTGCTCAATTCCTGGACCCCTGTTTATTTAATATTTGCATATCGGCGTCATGGGGATCACGTGGCTAAGTGGGGATCACGTGGCTAAGTGGGTAAGGCGCTGGCTCTCTAGCCTGGAGGTCGGGTGTTCGATCCCTGCATTGGCCGAGAAAGTTCATCCAGATTTTCCGGCGTGGTTTCCCCTTGTCAGTGATGCAGGACGGAGGGCCTGACAAGGACAGCTGTCTAGTCATTCGGATGAGACGAAAAACCGAGGTCCCGTGTACACATTGGCGTGCACGTAAAAGATCCCTTGACAGTTGGAATTCGATATAAGAGTAGGCCGTAGTGCCGCTGTCTGGGCAAAATTTCCCTAATAGCACACTGTATGGCGTATGCCCGTCTTCATTAGCCCAGTTCAGAGCAAAACAGTAGGACGTTAAACCCCATTTCATTTCATTTCATTTCATATCGGCGTCATTCGGTTTTCGATATCTGTAGTTTCGATGTATTTTTGAAATATTTTGTATCTTTCTATCGTAGTGATATTATTACATAATATAATGTTTTCCAATGTGTATTTTACACTCAAAACTATTATTTGTTTATTGGGGGTTTTTTTTGTCGGATTTTACATTACAAACGTTATGCACCGCTTGCTTTTTTTTAAATCCGTTTTAAGAGTGTTTTCTTCAATGTTTTCTTCAAACCCCTTGTTTTAAACGTGTTAATTTCACACGTAATGTTCAATGAGTTAACATCGGCATCGTCTCGATATAATACTTAACAGTAGTGATTAACGTTGTTGATCAGACAGCTGTGGTAGTCACGTGACTTCACATACAATGGCGGCAGTGAGTGTTTTCCTGAAAAATCAACGAATATCCATCGAGTATTGATATACGTTATCTGTGCCCTGAATTCAAAACGAGCATGGTAAGTATGAACTATTTACAACTCTGTGTTTGATTGTAAACCTTGATGTTTATAAATGAGGTGAAATCCTGTTTAAAATGCCGTTATTATTATCGAGGGTTTTGTAGTTTCTGACTATTCATCAGTCAGTGTGTTATGCGAGAGATGTATTCCGCTATACATGTATATAATGTCACACATGACAAACCCGCTGTTGTTTGTTTTTATATGCGTGTGTGTATTTAACGTTAAATAACGGTATTTTTCATTGTCCCAGCTTACGTGAAAAGCAAGGGTTTATCTGATAACGGCTATTACCCAGTCTCGGATGAATACCTCCATATACATGTAATATAATACTCTACATAAAAACCTTGTTGCTTTTATGTTAAATATAAAAAAAATGTACATTTTGTTTTGGATATAATAATATGTTGAAGGTAACAGAATATCGTACATCTTGGCTGAAATATTATCAGAATGACAATAATTATAAAACATGCATTTCATTATGTAACTTGCAAGACCTAGATCGGCTTATATGTTGTTTTTTGGGGGGCTTCAAATGCTATATAAAATTATTATTTAGACATTTATACACATGGCAAGACTCACTCACTAGACGACCGGATGGCACAGATGTAAACAGATTAAAGTAGATTTAGTGATTTAATTTAAAAATGGACTAGCGAGGCCAAGTCTCGATTAACAAGTAACGTTGCTGTTGCTATGATAGTACACAATTGGGGCTACATCTTCCAACAACACCCATAACTTTGCTCAGTATAAAGTAATTTGAATGAAATTTTCAACTTATTCCATTTTCATTATCTACTTTTTAACTATTATAGCGAGAACTGTGAGCACTTTATCTAAATCCTACATACATGATATGCATCTTTAAATTAAAAAAAAAGAAGAATTTTTTAACATGATTAAGTTACAGGAATATAGGCGTAGATTTCGACAGGACTCAATAACTTAATAATAATTACTTGCCCAAAATATTTATTATTTTGGTCCCTTTTTGTTCCAAAACGTGTGTATCCCTGAATAAGATTGTGGGGACTCAAGTCCTTCTAAAGACCAGCCTAATAGGCTTATAAAATGGATTGATGTTTTATTTTAATTAGTGATTTTTGACTTATTTAGTTTGATTTTTTTACTTAAAGATACATTATGGGAGATTCAGTAACGAGTTGGCAGTTCTCACTATAATAGTTAAAAACTAGATACTGTAAAGGCAATTTACTAAAAATTTCATTCAAATTGATCCACTATGAACAGAAAACTAAGCGATTGAAATTTTTGCCTAGCCTCGGTCATCATTACTAAAGTCAGTACGAAAAACAGCATAGTCTCGATTATCTATTTAATCGTTAAATGAGAAGGAAAGTTATGCAGTAAATCGGTTCACAATCCACTTAAGATCGCAGGCTAGCGATGCCATCTAGAGTTGATTATGGTCTGGATAAGTTAATTAATGTCTAACTAATAATTTAGATAACATTTCAGGCCTAAAGAAAGACCTGCAATAAGCAGATTTAGCTCTTGCATAATGTATGTTTAATTGTTGGGTTGTTGATCATCGTATGGTCCGTCATGAGTCCAGTGGCGTGTATGTGACAAGAAGGATCCCCTCTCCCCTTTGTTTCTCCCCACTGCTAAAGACCCCTACGAGGTAGGCAATTTAGGGGGGGTTGGATGGCTGAATGGTTAGCGTGCGCGCGCTGTATCATAAAGTCTGTCATTGAGTCGACTGGCGTGGTTTCGAATCCCCGGATGTACGTGACAAGGAGTAGGGGCGCCTGTCCAACCTCGTGGGTTTTCTCCGGGTCCTCCGTTTTCCTCCCACTGCTAAAGACCCCTACGCGCAAGCGAATTATTGAAATAAAATTAAACCATATGTTATTCCCGAAATGACCTAGTTTGTGTCGAGTGGACGTTAAACCCCATTTCTCTCTCTATCTCTCTAGCTAATTTAGTAATGATTGAAATAAGATTGAACCATGTGTTAGTCCTGAAATGTCATTTCCCATTTCTCTTTCTCTCTGTCTGGGAAGCCACGGTGGCTAAGTGTGTAAGACGCTGGCTCGCTAGCTTGGAGGTCGCGTGTTCGATCCTTGCATTGCCCGAGTAAGTTTATCATGATTTTCTGATGTGGTTTCCCCGTTTCAGTGGTGCAGGATGGAGGGCCTGACAAGGACAGCTGTCAAGTCATTCGGATGGGAGGAAAAACCGAGGTCCTGTGTATACATTGCCATGCATGTTAAAGATCCCTTGGCAGTTGGAATTCGATATAATAGTAGGCCATAGTGCCGCTGCCCAGGCAAATTTCCCTCATAGCACACTGTATGGCGTATGCTCGTCTTCATTAGCTCAGTAGGGGCAGAACAGTAGGATGTTAAACCCCATTTCATTTCATTTCATTTCAAAGAAAGTCTGATTTTGATAATGTAAAAGAAATGTTTTTTTTAACGTCCTACTGTTCTGCACTGACTGGGCTAATGAAGACGGGCATACCGTGTACTATGTGGGTGAGTTTGCCCAACAACAGAGCTACAGTCTACTCTTATATCAATGGTTATAGTAGCAATGATCCATTGACAGCAATCTACTTATTGGTATATTGATAGTAAATGGAAAATCAAGTAACTTCACCGGCCTGTGCGTTGGAATGTCCACAAATCAATCCAGAATAAATTAAACCCCATTTCAATTTAATTCATCTCTCTCTCCAACTTCATTAGTTGGCGTGCACGTAGACGAACTCTTAGCATTTGGAATTCGATATAAGAGTAGGCCATAGCACTGTTTTCCTGGCATGTGGTCAGGTCTAAATATTAAGGCCACCTGCAGATTTCGTCAAGGTTGCGAGATTTAAACAGGGTTGACGTGATTGTTTATGAGATTGTGGGTTAGAATAAGGGTTAGCACTAGCCCTGTTTACATCTTGTGACCTTGACGAATTAATCTACAGGTGGCCTTAATATTTAGAAGGGGGGTTGGATGGCTGAATGGTTAGCATGCGCGGCTGTATCATAAAGTCTGTCATTGAGTCGACTGGCGTGGTTTCGAATCCCCGGTTGTACGTGACAAGGAGTAGGGTCACCTGTCCAACCTCGTGGGTTTTCTCTGGGTCCTCCGGTTTCTTCCCACTGCTAAAAGACCCCTATGCGCAAGCGAATTATTGAAATAAAATTAAACCATATGTTAGTCCCAAAATGACCTAGTTTGTGGCGAGTGGATGTTAAACCCCATTTCTCTCTCTCTCTAATATTTAGACCTAATCATACATGTAGTATACTGAATGGCGTATGCCTGTCTTCATTAACCTAGTTAGAGCAGAACAGTACAGGATGTTAATAAACCCCATTTCATTTCATTTTTATTCAGTAAATGTGATTACCTCTAAGTGACACTGATCAGATTTACTTTATCATGAGAAATACGCAATTGACAGACCACGTTCAAATTGCACACCACATGTAACAATTGTCACATGACGAATCCTACATGATCATATATTTCCTTGTAAAATATGTTTTATTTTTGATCCAATTCTAGCATAAAACAGGTAGAATTTACTTTAGATAACCATTTTGGGTGCCCAGTTATGGTGTAAATCTATCTATTAAAGATACATTATGGGAGATTTTTTATAGAGAGTTGGCCATTCTTGCTGTAACAGTTCAAAAGTAGATGATGAAAGAAGAATATATTGAAAATTTCAGTCAAATTACTTTATTCTGAACATAGTTATCATCGTTGTAATATTTGACTAGAAATGGTAGTGAAATGTGCCTTCACCTTGGCCGATCGTTTGATTGACAGGCGTTAACTTTACCTACATATCTCGATTATCAAGTAAAGTTTTCAATGGCATGCGGAAACGCTCTACAGCGGCCTCGCTAAGTACACTCTATCATTTAGCATCGATCTAACTGACGTATTCTCATCAGGGTGCGCCATATTTGAATTTATCAATGAGTGAAATCCTATTTAAATCCGACCTGTAGCCGAGCCATCCATGGGTCTACAGAGTTGATTTTGGGCTTGTTGTTTAAATAAAGATCTAATTTATAATTTCTATAACATCTGAAGCCTAAATTAAGACTTGCAATAATCAGATTTTGCTCTTGCATAATGTATGTTTAATGTTTGGAGGGAGAGAGAAATGGGGTTTAACGTCAACTCGACACAAACTAGATCATTTCGGGACTAACACATGGTTCAATTTTATTTCAATAATTCGCTTGCACGTAGGGGTCTTTAGCAGTGGGAGAAAGCCCAGGTGACTTTATGATACAGCGCGCGCACGTTAACCATTCAGCCATCCAACCCCCCTTTAGCTATTGGTTGTTAATCAGACTATTGACCAGTCATAATTTGGAACAGAAATTTGCTTCCATTACAGCAGTGTTAAGTGGGATTAGCTCTAATCAAACGAAACACTGCGAGGAGTATGAGCGGATTGTAACTTCCTGGATTATGGTTCTTGATAGTACAAAAAATCCAGTTTTTATCTTGTGAACCCTCTAGAGGTCACATTTTTTATTTGATTTTAAAAGACGTTTAAATATATGAGTCTTTCAACCTAATTACGATTGAGTTCAAATTTCGTGAAAATCAGACCCAAACTGCCCGACAAAATGGCTGCTCCTTGTACGCAAATGGTGTAATAGTATGTAATACCAAGGTTGTGGACCCTCTAGAGGTCGGAATTTTTATCTGATTTTGATGAAACTTAAAATATATGTTTATATCCCAGAGATTTCGATTCCTTTAGATATTTGCACATATTGGACCATAACTTCCTGGATTATATCCCCTGATTGTACGAAAAATCCCCTTTTTTTAGCTTGTTTTCTGTCCATCTCATGCAAAATGTGGGCAAGGAGTAGTGAGGTCACCTGTCCAACCTCATGGGTTTTCTCCAGTTTCCCCCCCCCCACTGCTAAAGACCCTACTGACAAGCAAATTAATGAAATAAAATTTAACCATATATTGTGTTAGTCCTG